TATATATATATATATATATATATATATATATATATAAGCGGTCATGGTTGCAACATTGCATATTAATGTCATGAATGGTACTATTTTCAAGGCATATCGTTTGGAACCGCTTGTTCACAATCAGTATTCTTTTGTTAAACCTCTGAAACTGTATTCTGCACTTGATCCGAGATCACAAAAAAATTATGATTTTCTCCCACCTGAAGTAAGACTTTTTTCATTGTTTCTGGGAAATATTTGTACTTACACTTTTAGGGCGGCTGAAGGCTAATTCTTTTTTCTCTCATAAGGTTTCTAGCTTTTTGTGTAATTTGGATTTGATGGTGCTTTTTATTTAGCTCAACAAGCAATATATAAAGAAAATGAAGGCTAGAGAAAAGCAAGAAAGAACTGTGAAATCAGAAACTGAAGAAAAGGAGAACGAAGATGTTGGCGAAGAAGGAGAGTCAGACAGTGATGACTCACCTCTGCGGCCAACCAGCTCGTGTAATTCCCTTTTCAGTTTGCCTTCACAAATTTAATTTTTAATACTCTATCATTATGGTCTTCTGAATGATAATTAGTAAGGTGTTTTTGGACTGCTGGCATTAAGTTTAGCAGTTATGCTCTATGCAGTTTTATTTTAAATTACATTTCTTTTGCTTAAGGTTCTTCTTTGAGAAGTTTATCACCTCAGCCGCACGAAGAAGCTGAGCAACAAAGAAGTTGGTGGAAGTTTGGTTCATCAAAGAAGGAGAAAGATGCTACCGAAATAGCTAAGGAGGCAGAGGAATCATTAATTGATAATATAGATAAAGTTATTGCAAGCATACCGGCTGACAAGAGTCAGTTTTTCAGCTTTACTGTGTTGTTTTTCTTTGCTTCTCGATTATCTTTTTGCCTTTTTTGCAAGGTAATAAGCTCCAAAGCGTTTAGTGCGATTCATTCGAAACAATTTTTGTAAACAGAAAATATAACTTAATTTGGATTATTTTTTTGAACTTAGTTTATTCATTTATTGGCGGAGCAAGAGGAACATTTTATGATTATGAAGCAAGGCCTTTAGAGCAAATTAGTTTTCATTTTTCTGTTTTTTAGAGTTAGTGCAACGGATGGATTTTCAAATACAGCCTCAGTTGACTGAACGAGGCTACTATTCTTTGTTGAGAAGTCATTTTTCATATTGGGGGAGTGTGGACCTTGCTGCATTTATTGTTGCTCAATTGTATAGCAAGGAAGAAAAAGCGAACGGTAATTCTGGTGTAGAGAAGTAAGTTGAAGTTTGGTGGTCTAGCGGGCCGTCTGTACGACGTATTTTAGACCACATCCTTTATTTGTGTAGTTTGCACTGATAGTTCGTTTAGGAGTCAAGCTTTGATTTGCCGATTTGGGTTTTTTCCACCTGTTTATGACACAGTTAGTAGTCTTTTAAGTTATTTAGCTGTTGGAGGGAAGAGAGGTGGGAGCAAGTGCAAGCGGTTCTAAGAACTTATTTTCAGTCACCTTGGACCTTCAGTTTTTTAATTACTAATTCTCTTTCTTTGTTTGTTGGGTACCGCCTTGATTTAATGAAGCTTTATTCGGGTTTGTATTTTTCAGCTTGTATTCCTGTGAGATTGATTCTGCCTCATGCTTTCAGAAATTGTTGAGTGACTTGTGCCAAGTTTTCTCCGCTTTTTTCAATGGTCACAACAGTGGCGATTCTAGCACTATGTATTTTTTGGGAGAACTAGTCACCTTTTTGTAATATTTCATTTGATTTATAATAATGCTTTGTTGTTCCAGCTTTAAGGTCATTGTTTTTGAGATGATCAGTGTAATTATAACTGTTAGGTTGGCGTACAATAAATATAGCTTTTAATCTTTCTTTGGACTTTTCGGCTACCCACAAAAGTAATTTTCTTCATTCGTTTAGCTAAGTGTTCTTTTCTTCCTAATATTTAGGGGTGCAAGTGGTGGCAGCTAATATCTTTGTGCAAAAACACCGGTTTTGGGACCTGTCTCATTCATATACATAAGCTGGGATTTAAGGGATGCAACATTTGTTAGGCTCCTGCGGCGGTGTCAAATAGTTCTGAAGAGTTTGATGAATTTTGTGGCGGCAGAAATTGACGAAGTTGTTACGCCTTTTACTCGTCAGGTTAGAGTAATTTTAAGTGTCATTTTCAATGGGCGTTGTGTCGTTAATTTGTTGTGATTTTGGTAGAAACAGGCAGAAACTTGAGAAAGGCTGGAGAAGAATGTGATTTCATAAGCCGATTGGTTAGTGGATGACGTGTGCCAAGTATCTGATCAAAGAGAGACGAACACAAGTGAGTTGTGCGGTAGAACTAGCATTTATTTCAGAACCATTAGTTTATTCCTCGTAGCAATTTCTGAGAGCACAGTATTTGTCTGTGTCGATTTGATGAGTGTAAAGAAAAGAGTAGAATCTTCTTTTTGTTTTTTGTGGGTTCGTTTGCCACAGTTCTTTCTTCTGTCCACTATTTTCTATTTTCTGCCAGTATTTCTTGTTACTGATGACACTTAAGACAGCTGGATTCTCTGAGTCAGGTACTGAGTCCCAGAGATTAGTTTCTCTTTTCTTCAGTACGCCCACATATTTATTGCCAGTAAACCTGTGAGTTAATCTATGCTTGCCACGCGGGACTTAATGGGTTCAATACGTCTATTCCAAACTTCAAACTTGGGTAATTAAACCTTGTTAGTATTGACAAAATTATACAAAAGAAGGTTATAGGTTGCACATTAACACACTAACGAACAGAACAGAACAATATAAGTATTTATACAAGAAATGTTAGTTAAGCATACATTTATAACTAGCATTACGGGAAAAGTAAAGAGAGAAGTAAAAGAGGAACTGAGCTTCAGAATAGAAAAAGTAAGATTGATCATTTTTTACTTCAAGACTCTCTTATATAGTGCTTTAGTCGATTGCCATCTGTCGAGATTAAGCTGATGTTTACATCCTACGTCGATTAATCCGTTAGCAATTCTATGACAGTTTCAGGTCAATCTTTTTTTTTAATAACATATTGTCAACAGCTCCAGGTTGGTGTCATAGTTGACCTTGAGGTCAATCATGGACTATTGCTATGATTAGACCTGTTTGCTCTGACCGTTAGCAATCTGCGTGAATTTGCAAGTTTTTACTGTAAACAATAATTTATAATGATTGGTGTTGTTTACAGTTAAGTTTATCCTTCGGTGCCCTGACCGTTAGCGATCTGTGTGACCTTACCATTTTCCTCCTGATCTTTTTCTAAACTCTCCTTTCAGCGACAATGAGAGTCCCGGATTGATATCTTAACTACGTCCTTTTTTCACTAGTTTCTGTCTTCATCTATCTTTGTGATAGCGTGTGAGAAAAAGTTTGTAAATTGCAGCGGCTCTTGGAAATAGTACGGAAAACGCCTGCACGCTCGTACAGAGAAAGAAAATGGCTGAAAGGAAGGAGATTGAATTTTTAAAACTCAATTTTGACCGGTTATGAAACCAGCATAGGCACTTAGAACTATCTAATAAGCATAACCCGGTTCCAAAATAAGTGTTGCAGATGAGCAAAAGACTTTCCTGAAGCACAGAAAAGTTAAAAAAAAAAACACAGGGAAAGGCACGTAGTTTGAAAAATCGATTTGTGACCCTCATCCAAACTAACACAAGCGAGTAGAAAAATAGTGCGCTTTTAGAGCTTGCTGACAAGTAAAGACTTATTCCGGAACAAATTTTTTTAAATAGGGGAAAAACGTTGACAGCAGGTTTTTACAAAAAGCGCAATACAGCTGGAAAATTAGTACATAATTCAAAAAAACGATGAGTTAATCTTGGTCGGAATAGTGAAGTTTAGTTGTCCGTTATTGGAATGTCTCTTAAAAACTATAGGATCTTTTCAGAGTTTAGATTCTGAAAACAAGAAAACCATTCCGATATGGCTGTTTTCCAGCTGATTTCTCACACTTGCATTTGTTCTAGCAGCCACATATTTCTTTTTGGCTATGTCTTTAGCAGTGGTTGGAAAATGAAAGGCTTGCTAAACAGAGACACCAGCATGACAGTGGATAACTTCAAATTTACAAAGACAACATTGCCTTGATGAATAGAGAAATTTAAAAGACTACTTCGAAAACACTTTAAATTTTGGCAGAACTGTGGGTTGAAAAACATCACTATTTAATATGATAAAAATAGTTTTTATAAATTGCTAAATAGTAAAAACGTTCACTCTTGGTTAACATTTTCATAAATCTCCAAGAAAAAATTACCTTAAGAAAAACATGAGAAATCAACTCAAATAAAGCTTTGGGAATTAGAGGGAAAGTATGAGAATAAAGACATATTTTATAGAACAGAAATATTGTTTAAAATGTTTTGCAGAACTGTTTTTGTAGAACCAACTATCAAATCTTTATAAGCCGAGGGGAATTCTCAGTGTATTACTTGCTTTCTCGCAAACAAAGACGATGGTATAACATTCTGTTCAAAAAACAACTTTTTCCTAAACAAAACTAAGGTTCTATAGTTTCTTAGTTAAAGGCTTGCTAACCTCAGTTGTTTTGAATACTTTCGCCAGTTTTGTTTTAGCCTTAAAATTGTTAGAATTTCAGCGCACTGATTCCACGTTCTAAAAACAGCTTCTCTACTGTTTCCAACATTTTCTAGTTTAAAAAATTAAGCAATTTATCAGTTAATACAAAAAACTTTCAAAATTTCAGTTAAAGAAATTAAATTCACCACACCTACATTTTATGTTTTCAAACGTGTGTTATTTTGCAATTTATCCGTATGTGGAATGTCGAAAATTATATATGGGCCATTCCACGCCAAATCGTCTTGTAAATCACCCTCTCAGATTTTTTTCATTTTTTGCTGATTAGTAGAGTCCAGGCCAGCGTAGAGAAAGCTGCAAAGAGAACCTGGAAAAGTGATTTCCCCGCCAAGTTACATCCTCCCAAAGTTGCAAAATTTGCCAGTTTGCCGCTTGACATGTCTATCTTTGGAGCTTCGTAATTCGGCCCCGTCTTAACAAAATCTAACAATTTTTGATCCATCGTATTTATTAAATTTTTAAATTTTCAAAAAAATGCTGAAATTAAATTAAATTTTAAATTTAAATTTAAATTTAAATCTTTTAAGTTTTTTTTTAAATTTTTAAAAAAATGCTAAATGATTTAATTCTAATAAAAATGCACAAAGATATAATAAAAACAAGATTTCAAACAAACAAAAAAAAACATGCATTCAAATTTTTCAAAAAAGATGTATTTTGCGTAGAATTTTTTTCTCTACAAAATATCGAAATTTGGAGATGGTGAATTATCGATATCGAGAGCTACGAGCCGGAATAGGATGCGAAACTTAAAAAAATCACTATTTTCACAGGAATTCCGTGTAATTTACAGAGGCGAAACCATCCAGAGCCGCGTCTGAAGGCCGCAGGTGGCAGCTAGTAATATCCCGTATGCTTTAAATCTTGAAAACTCGCTATCAAAGTTCTACTTCACTTCAATAATATTAACAAGTTATTATTCCGCAGAGTTATAAGAGGTAGTCTTCACTCTAGCTCTTTCTAGTTCTAGTGCTTTATTTTGTGAAAACTTGGTAGTTAATATACATTCTAGCGTTGCAGAAAAGTTCAAGAACTCACTGCTTTGCCTAGGTAACTGTTAGATTTGGGTTCTACTCTTCATAACCTTGCAGAATAATAATTTGTTAATATTATTAAAGTAAAGTACAACTTTGATAGCGATTTTTTAGCGTTAAAGCATGTGGGATATTGGTAGCTGCCAGCTGCGGCCTTCAGAAACGGCTCTGGATGATTTCGCCAAAATAAATGGGGTTACTGTAAAAATAGTGGTTTTTTTTAGTTTCACATCTTATTTCATCTCGTAGCTCCAGATATCAAAAAATCGCCGTTTTCAAATTTTGATATGTTGTACAGAAAAAAATTATACGCATAGTATATCTTTTTTGAAAAATTTGAATACTTGTTTTTTTTTCATGTTCGTTTGAAATCTTGTTTTTATTACAATTTTGTGTATTTTTATCAGACTTAAATTACTTAACATTTTTTAAAAATAAATACGACAAGTCAAAATGTTTAGATTTAGTTAAGAAGGGGCCGAATCACAAAGCTCCAAAGATAGGCATGTCAAGCGGCAACCCGACAAATTTTGCAACTCTGGGAGGTGTAACTTGGCGGAGAATTCACTTTTCCATGTTATCTTTGCGGCTTTCTTTATGCTGGCCTAGACTCTACTAATCACCAAAAAGTGAAAAAAATCTGAAAGGGTGATGTTCAAACGTGTGCGATTTGGCATGGAATGGCCCACATATTTTTGAAAGCGACCAACTAGGGTATGAAAGTACCAAAACCAGAATGTTAAAGATGACAGTAGTTGTTGCTCTGTAGAATAAACAATTAAAAAGTTGCATTTTGTTTTAAATCTTTTAAAGCTTTACGTATTGAAATCTGTAAAGGTGCA